TTACGGGAAAGAGGATACAGTTGCCTTTTAAGAGCCCCCCCCCCCAACTTTAGTGCAGTATGCCTTCTGTGTCTAGAGGTTTCCTTGGGAAGGGTCTGGAGCTTTTACACTTGAGTCGGGTGTGGTACAAACTTGAGAACCTTGTGGCATCAGTGGTCCTGGAAGAAGTGATGGGAGACCCCTTCTGAGGGATGTTCCCATTTCTTCCTGATCTATTCCTTCGGGTTCCTCTGCCCTCCGCTCTCCCTGTGCTGAGCTGAGCTGAGCTGCTGCATGGGGTGGCCTACAGCAACCCGTAGGAGGCAGGTCTTGTTGGGTGCAGTGCTGGCTCACTCCCCACTCCCAGCCTGGTAATCAGGCCTCAGGCTACCATCAGCTCTCCAAGAAGACCTGCTATCTGGCAGAGGCTTCCCTTACTGTTCCATACCCACGGTATCTCTCTGAACCCTATCAGGGTACAGGAGGACCTCCTGTCCTGGGCCAGTTATGATATCCTAGCCCAGGAAGAAGCCAAGTGTCTTCTGTGGGAAAAACACTCTGTGTTTACCATGGAATTGAGTGTTAGAGCAGGCCTCGAATTGAGTGTTAGAGCAGGCCTCGGGCACAGCAAAAGGGGTGGATTTTCCCCGAGGATGAGACCAGCTCTACATCTTCATCTCTAAGAAGCTCAACTTTTACCCTTGTTTTACAGATGAGGCAACCAAGGCTTAGAAAAGCTAAGGCTGGAGAGCCACAGGGTTAGCCAGTCGGGGCATTTGGATACAGCTCAGACCAGGTGACTGTACTGGTTTCCTGCCTCCGAAGCCGAGCCCAGAGTTAGGTGCTCTCTGTTGGGAACAAGGGATGACTGTCTTTTTGGGACTGTCTGGAAGGCAGGTCTTGACAGTCCAGGGCAAAAGATGCTGTCGTAGACGACGCTCGAGCAGAGAGTGAGCGCCCGCTGTGTGTCAGGGCTTGTGCTGGGGACCGAACTCCAGGCAGGACACCCGGCCTGAAGCTGCAGGGCAGCACAGCACACTGCACCTCGGGACTACGGAGGGGGAAAGCTGGGGAAGCCGCCGGGAAGAGGATCTTTTACTCCAGAGTCAACAGGAGGTGCGAGACCCGACACCTCCACTTCCAGAGGTGGCCTGACCTCAGCTTGGGCTCCCCCTTCTCCGTGCCTCAGTTTCCTCAACAGTGAACGGGGGGGACAACATTCCCTCTCACCTAGGGTGGGTGACAAAAAGGACAAATAGCACAGCGCTGACATTCCCTAAGTGTGTTTGTGTGTATGAAACGACTCTGCCGGCTCCGCATGAGAGCCACGCACACTCCGATGCCAAGGGCGCTCCGGCCTCGGTATCGCCAGCAAAAGAGCCGCCGCCAGCAACGCTGAGAACCGCGCGCATGCGCCAGCCCGTGCCGTCACAGTCACGTGCCTCAGGCGTTCGGCACTGGCCGTGAGAGCCAGATTCTGACTGACAGGCTGGCCAACCCGTTAGCAGGAAGCGCTTCCCCGGGCGTCAGGTGAAGAGGCTGTTGATTGGGAGTAGCCTCAGCTGAGGGCGGGTTCTTTGCCGTCCTGGTTACTATGACGCCCGGTCCCCGCCCCCTCGGCTGGCCGCCATCCTGTTGTTGAGCCAGATCA